CGCTAAGACTCCTCAAGTCCCTTGAGTCATCTTTCCTTTCACACTCATGCAAGCTTGTTGACAAAATTCTGGAAGTCAACTCGTATCTCTATGCCTATGGTCTCACCTGTAAATCAAGGAAACTAGACACTCTCTTGCCCCTAAATGATGAGGCTGCCGTCCAACGCAATGATAATGTCACCATACGAGACGATTTACCCCACACTGCCCCTGAACACGTTATCTTATCGAAGGGCCTGTCCTTCGTCCCTGCACTTCAAAGCCGACCTTACCCTTCTTTTGTTTTTACATGTGGACAGCGAACAATTCTTCCGATGCCTACTTCACCCAGCATCCGTCTAACTTTAATCGCACCATGTTCGACACCATTAACCCACAGACTGGTATCCGTACCCCGCTTCCCGCCAAACACCCTGAAACTGACAGTTCAATCAAAGCATGTCGTAGCATCATTGCCAACTCCTCTAGCAAACTAATCTCTAAATACCTGAACGCAACCCCACAAGAAGTTACCGCTCTAAAATCCCTTTGAAACCGCACTAACCTCGTAACCTAGCCAGCCGATAAGGGTGGAAACGTGGTGGTCTGCACTCTGCAACGCCTACCCCTCCCTCAAGTTTACCTCACTGATATCGAAATGCGCTGTCAGCTTCCTAGACTTAAAAGTCACTGGTGACACACCTCTGTGCACTATAAACGCACTGACAGCCATAGCTACCTTCTTTACTCCTTGATCCATCCTAGATCCCAAGTCAACTCTATTCCCTTCTCACAATTCCTTCGCCTCCATAAGATTTGCAGCGACGAAATGGATTTTCGTCTTTAAGACGATGACCACCTTCTTTATTGAACGTAATTAGCCACTCGACCTTCTGCGCAATGCGAGTAGTTGCTTCTCCAACATTTCATGGCACTGCTACTGCGACTCGCATCTTCCGAGTGCTCTAGTGGGGCATGTCGGGCTGCTTCAACAACAAGCCGAAGCAGCTTCTGAGGCTATGTGGCCTTTTCCTCTTCACTCTTGTCAGCTCAGCTGCACATTACTGCTTGTGCCGGCCCTTATACCACTGCTTCGTCGGCCTGTTCTGGAACTCATGGCATCATCACTGACATTGCCACTAGTCTCGGGCATATTGGGGTCAATACCAGTGGCAGCCTTGATGCTGGCTATTGCACTGTCATCATCAGCCTCACACAATTATTTTATTGCTGCTCTTCTAGAAGGTACCTCACACAGGTTGCTTTCTGCGATGCTTTCACACTGCACGTCTGAAAACAAGTGAGGAGAATGTCACAAAAGTGGCCATGGCTGCAAGAAACTGCCACTTATTTAGATACAGTGATCCCGGGAACTTGTAGATTCCTCTGTAATGTAGCCAGCTCACTTTGCCTACTTCTATGGTGGCCCCCAGCAGCAGATGTTTTCTGGAACACGTAAATATCTTAAGTAGCAACTGTGCAGCAACTGTATTCAATGTATAGATGAAATACCTTATTAAACAATTTTTAGGATGTTTTGGAATAAAATTGTGCACGTATCATGTAAACACACGTAGCATATTTCGCTTTGAAACAGTATGGGATTATCCAACATCAAAGAAAGCTAGAAATATAAGCATTGAGAGACTGACTTCACGCAGCATTTCTTTTTATTTCTTTTTGGAGAATGTCAATGGGAATGTAAAAGCCGGTAAGAAGTCATGGTGGCGAATACCTACACTACGTTTATTACAACAACAGGGGATTTACAAGATTTGTACCACTTAAAGAAAAGTAACCACTTTTTGTCGTCTTGCATTCTTCCCAGAATCTCTACTTCGCGGCAGCCAAGTAAACATTCAGCTAACTTCGCGAGCTGTTGCCAGAGCAACAAACGCGAAATTTAAAGCGCTGCTAGGCGAAGTCAGCTAGTATATCCACGACCAAGCCGGTCGTGCAATGAACTCGTTCGGGGTACGCAGTACTCGTTCGAGGTACGCAGTGCTGCGACGACCCACACACACAAAACGAATACTAGACGACCGTCCGCTCCGCTAATTGTTTCGCGTGCTCCTGTTGGTTATGCCCACCGTGAAAGTTATATCTTACCCAAAAATGTTCCTTGAGGTTTCGGTATTGTGATGGAGTGCGACGTATATCTTGAGGAAACGGAGGGCTTCTCAAATCGCCCGTAGGCCGGTGCAGAACCCGCCGTTCCGCTTCTGCTGCCGAAGACATTCGAGGTGCTCGTCTCACATAGTTTGAGTACCGACGTCTCGCGGGACAGGTCGCCTTTTTTTTGTCGGCAGGCGCTCCTTCCGACATCGTAAAAACGCGTAAATGAGGAGCGCATCGCAAGTGGAACCAACGAACCGAGAGCCGACCGAGGCGAGCGCGCGACAGGTTCAGCGGTTCAGAGCCATTAGGCCTACTGGATAACTGGAGTCGTGAGTAGGTTAAACAATTAGAAACGTAAAGTGCGTGCGAAATACGCGTTAAAGTAATTATTTTCGTAATTAAAACGATGTAAAAATTGTTTCCGCAATATATACCTTCTTTTTTTTAAAACAATCCCGTAATATGTGTCGAGCGCTGCCATCGAGAGTACGCTTTGCGAGCCGTAAATGAGTTTGTGGAACTCTGTTTACCCGAAATGGCATTTAAGTTAAATGCCATTCGAGTTGCCGTGTGGCAGTGCCTAAATGACATTTACACTGAATGTCATTTGGCGTAAATGCCATTTTAGCTGCCGTCTGAATGTTCTGAGGATGTTTTTCGAACGTCCACAGGACATCCTCAGAACGTTAGGACATCTTACAGGGGCACTGACACCACAAAGGTGTTTTTTCCCCGTTTTCTAGAACGATTTAAGTTCCAGTCATAGACACAAAAAACAATAACATAACGAAAAAAAATTTCCCACGAGCGCGCTCGCGCCTTTTTCATTTTTGAAGTTTTCTCTCCCTCTTCTCATCTCCTCGCTTCGTTTTATTTGTGACGTAACCGATTATGAAGTTTACAAACTTTGTAAGCGACATTTCTGTAATATTTAATAACGACATCAGTAAAAAAATTTTTTTTTAACGCCATTACAAAACCACGACGCCCCTTCTTTTAAAATACCGAAGTGATGTCGCTTCCTGGCTTTTTATCCTTCATCGCAAAACATGGCGGCGCTCCTCACCTGTAGCAGTGAGGGTGATCGGGGAGTCGGGGAATCGGACGAAGTTCTCTATGTTTGGTAGACTTACCTCTAGCCAGGCATGTAGCCAGGGGAGGGGGGGGGGGGAGAAATGGGCCCCCCCCCCCCCCCCCGAAATCTTCCATTTTGCTTGGGCATCCTCTCCCCCCTCCCCATCATACAGCATTTTGTCATAAGCACCTGTCCCCCCCCCCCCCCCCCCCCCCCCCCCCCAAAACCAAAATCCTGGCTACGTGCCTGCCTCGAGCCTTGGACATTTTGCTTCGTGTTATATGACCTGCTGCGGCAAGTTCCTAGGACAGACATCACGCCTCAACCGCGGTGCCATTTTAACCCCCAGCGCTCTAGAGACGCTTGGGCTGACCTCATAAACCTCGCCGACAAAGTGCCGAGAGCAAATAGAGGCCTTCGATCTGAAACCTTCCAGCACTCCTTTAGGAATTGCAGTTAGCCGAACCGCCTTCTCTTTCGAATTCTTCGGGAACCTGTGCTGCAGCGTACTCTCAGATGTGACTCCGCCGGTGCAACCATTCACGCAGCACCGGCGCGACATGGCCTTTCACGTGGCTCACAAAAGTCCACTGCGCGTTCGCTTCCACCTCAGACCGCTTAAAAAAGTTTGAGATCGCTGAAAAGGCCCTAAAAGAACTTCAGACTGGAAAGTGAAGCATCGTTTGCTCACAGCAATAGTATGTGGGCGAACACGACACTCCCGGTTAATACAGTTCAAAAAAATTTTTATTTTTAATATTTTTTTTTTTGTTATTTTACCAAATTGGAGCTTACAAGCTTCGATTTTCGAGGGTAATGTCAGGGCATCAATTTCAATCATTTCAAATAATATAATAATAATAATAAAAAAATTACCTGTCAGTGCCCCTTTGAAGACATCCTTAGGACATTCACAGAATTAAGTCTACTGCTAGGGAACACCAACCACTGCTACTTCCGTTCAAGGGATTGTGAATGGCGATCACGCTCCGATGGGCCTGCGGCCTCGGCGGCCAAAGGTCGTTCATCCCTTTTGACGCTAAGACCGCGGAATACTGATGCATGATGGCGATCGACTTTTTATTGGTTTAATTAAAGGAAAAACGATGGTTTGTTTCGTGACTCATGAGTGCATTGTGGGGCGCTAGCCATGAAGGAGCTCTTGAGACAAACGGTATAGCAAGCACCAACAACACCCTTTAAAAAAGGGACAAAAAACAAAAAACAAAACAAAAAAAAAAAAACTTCACAGTAACTGGAATCAAAGTTTTTTTTTTCTTTAGAATTGTTTTTCTTTTGTTTGGTTTTCGCAGATACCCAAGGGTGTGCTCTATATATACTCTCATGCTGCGAACCTACCGCCATCTATCCATGGGCTGCGTAACAATCGTGCTAGCAGCGGGAAAATCCTACGTGTTTGAACATTTGATCCGACTCACTCTTCGTAGTTTCCTCAAAGCATTACAGCCTTCTACAAACTTTATATACGGGGTAACGTGTGACGTTCCGGTTAAAAGGCATTAGCCCTGTGGCTCTGGCTTTTCTTGCATTTTTTTTTCTTGATCGGCTGTGTGAAGCGGTATAGAAGCTGGCACCCGAGCTGGATAACTCCGGTTGCCAGCATTTAGCGCAGTGGCATACGTCCAAGACGACAGTTTGTTTACATCGAAACAGGAGCGCTACGTGATTAAGCCGAGGAAATTGCTGAAACGCTGCCAAAAAGAGGTATCGGTCTGCCGAAGCAACGCCTATCGCCAAGAACGCACCGTGCGTATATGAATAAAGGATAAGATACGTGCTCTCACAAGTCGTTTGTGCTGCTCGGAGACACTCAACGAATTACAGCATGCTTGGGGGGCGTCACAGCAGAGTTGCATGGTGTGCACGCGCTGCTGGCGCGGACCATGGGCGCATCGTCAACCACATAGACCCTTCGACCCTACCGTTTTGCTTTCTTCCGATTAAGGTAAGTCTCTTCTGAGTGATCAAGTTCCGGCATGGACGTCAGGAAAGTCTCAATGAACTGAACTGCTTGTTCAACCAAGTAACTTTCAAGTGAAGACGGAAGTGGCCAACACTGCTACCGCGGCAGTTAGTGTCTCCTTTTTTTAGCATTTTGTGTTTCGATCATTTGAATTTTTGAATTGGAGGCCCCAAAGCCATGGATCCCCAGAGCAACTTGGGGTATTGCACAAAGCATGCGCAGATTTTCTGGGCAAGCGCTGTGCGACGCTCCAAGCTGTTTGGGGGGCTCAAAGCGTTGGGGCCCTCGATTTTGAAACCCTCCGCTGAAACGAAAATTCTCACGTGCATCGCGCTTCGTCGGGACTGTTTGTCGCTTTCTTGTACGATAAGTGCAAGACGCTTTGCCTCGATATGGATGCCGGCTTACGGCCGAGTCTCACACATTCCAAACATGCCAAACAAACGCAAATAATTTTTTTTTTTTTACTTAATTGGGTCCGCTCAGCCGAGGTCACATTGCTTATACGCTATACAAAAGACAGTCGGCATACAGTTTCGAACGCGAGTCACCGCAATAATTCTGCTTTGAATGTTGCTTGGCAATGAGTTTGAGGAGCAAACTTGGCAAGAGGCATTCGAACCACGGATATTGCAGTGGCTCATGTTTACGGACTGAATTGATGTGCGAGCAGTGTGACGAGGGCCGGATTAAGGAATTTCGGGGCCCCTGGGGTAAATTTGTTCACGAGGTCCCTATTGGTGGTGCTAATACTGACTATGAGGATGATGATGGTGGTGGTGGTAACGACAATGACGGCAATATGTATGTTTCAACACATTACAAAATACAAATACCGTTCGCGTTATGTTATATCTTAAAAGGTTTCGCTCTCGGTAGATTAGATATGATGAGAACATTCAGGTTTCACTGGGTAGAAATGAAGCAGAGGCGATTGTGGGCTAGAGACTGTTTCGGAAACAGTCCATCACAACTTCCGTTGAAAAGTTAAAAATGATGATTCCGCGTTCCTATGAACTTGTTTCACCAAGTCTACAACCTTATTTATACAGTACGTGTGTCTGCCGACTTGCATGAACTCGTCATGATGGTGACTTAAAGAGATGGCACAGATGACCCCCTTGATATCGAGTGGCATAATTACTAGGCAACAATTGCATTAGACAGTAACCGAAAGTATACCACAAAAATCCCCCCATTACAAGAAAAAAAAACTATTTCGCTGCGGACATGCCTCGCAAGTTGCAACTCGAAAACTGTCCCGAGAATATTGTGTTTTAATTCCAGAAACTGGAAATTGTCTAACTAGCCTTTCTTTGATTAATTACTGAGTGGAACAGGAAAGCAACACATACAGCAAAGTAATCTTATTGTTTAAAGTGTTTAGGGCTCAAACCGCTTTGTTTACCCTCTTCTAATAACCGAACTCTCGTGTTCCAAACTAACAAACTTCAGCATTAAAAAAATAAAAAATTGAGACCGAATGCGATTGTAATGTAGGAAGTACTGTCATTTTGGAACATTCACAGGCATTGCTCATAAACATCAAGGATATATTTTTAAGCTCCTCTCCTACACGATGTCTATTTTAAAAGGGAAATGTTTCAATTAGTTTCGGAAGTGGTCTTGTTTCTTCTAATTGCAATAATTAAATACTTTGTTTAGCCATGTGGACGTATTGCTCTAAGCTAAGAATAATAGGTCATACCTTTGAGGCCCATATAAAGACTGCAGCGATCCTATTATTCCATGGCAGGAAATGTGTTTTCTAGCACTGGCAGATCAAACACAGGCTCCAGAACAGTTGCTTGCAGTCACTGCCTCTCCTAAACTTTTGGGGGACATCTAAAGAGAGGCGGCTCCTTGACACGCCTGTTAGTGGTTAGAAATGGTGGCTTCGGGAGGTTCACAGACATTTCTTTTTGCTTGGTTTGAAACTTGTCGTTTCGGAGGAAGTTTTTCATAAAGAACTACGCTAAAAGACCAAAAAATGTACGAAACATAATGTGTAGCATGTATGTTGTTCATGTAGCCTTCGGCAAGACTTGCTGGCCTTCCAACCACCATGGCCCGTAAAACGCGTCGAGGGGGTTTCAATACAATTCCCGTCTCCAGCTCGACGCTCGCCCTCCCGCGGCGGAAACGGGAAGCGCTCTAGTGAGGGTCCCCCGATTCTCCTGCTCAGCGGACACGATGGAACTGCTCGGACACGGTGGAACCGAATGCAGACAACACTCTTCACTGTCCCAGCGTGGTGCTGCAGCCGGTTTGGGATTGTACCTTATTAGAGAGTTTGAGTACTACGTATAGAAGCAAACGCAAGCGCTGGTCGTTTGCGCTAAACTGGCCTGCTCCATGTTGCGCGTGCGCATCGTTGCCATGCTCCAATCCAAGACCGCAATTTGGGCTCCGCGTGTGCGCAGCATGGAACATTCAAAGCTTATGCAAACACACAGCGCTTGCGTTCGCTCGTATATGCAATACTAAAACTTACTATGGTTTCACCGTTTTTCAGCACCAACGAAACGTGCTACAGTGAGCAGACGCGCAAGCAGGTAGGCGTTCCCTCGAACTGGAAAGGCTGAGGATGGCAAAACGACGGCGAGCAAATACGAAAGAAAATTAATGTTAAAAAAAGCAATAATTAAAAAAAATAATCCGTTTTTTTTTCGGGGGGGGGGGGGGGGGGGGATTTTGTTTGGAAGGATATTGGCGGCGATATTGGAAGCTTTGTCGATTATCAAAAGTTGCTACTTTGATAGCATTCTCAATCAGTCCAATTTTACATGAATTTCTCTCAATAGCTAGGATGTTGTCATTGATTTTAGACTTCATTTATTTTATAACTTGGTAATTGGAAATGCTGTAATTGGCACCAGTGATGATAATTAGTACACTTTAGATTCTTATACTTGTTCGCGCGTTTGAAATTAGATCGTAAACAACTAATTATTTTAGAGCTTGAAGATTGCGTATTAAAATATCTTAATATTCATATTTGTATTATTATTAATACAAATCGCGGCAATGTAGGCCTCCAATTAACGGTACGATCGCAGAAATATGCCCTTTAACCATAATCGTCTTTTCTGAAAGGGGCAATTTTTTTCGCACAAGACCTCTGGCATCGTTATCAAAATAGACAAGCAGTCAATCACTGGATGCAGTATAAACTCATATGCGTCACGCGTTGCTTTAAAAACACGCGCACTTCAGCCGTCTGATTTGGATTCCGTGTTTCAATTTTTATAGTGAGAACAGCGTTTCTTAATTCATACGTCTTGTGAACATATCATATAAATTTGATTTATTTTGTTATCCGTGTGTTGGGGAAAATGTTAAAGCAGTTATTCATCTAAATACCCAAAAAGCCATTGAAAGGCCCGCAGTTCATTGTTTCATATAACAATTATGTGAGCGAGAAAAGGCAGCAAGAACGCACAAATATCCGCACCGAAATTTTCAACAACCACAGCATTGTATGTTACCTCTAAGGTGTACGAAAGACCCTGTTTTTAAAGGGACGAAGGTTTCCGCGGACAACTTCTTTAACTAAATAATTACGGTGTGAGACACATTTTGAGTTATGAAAGAATCTGAAATTAAAACTGATACCGAGAAATTAAATCCAAAATGAAGGTTAGTTTCGTTTTTGCTCCGGAATTAAAACGTACCTCCTGGTCTAAACATTACGCTAAATCCCGTTTTTGTTTTCAGGATAAAGAGCTGACCTGCGCTCATATCACCCTAGCTCCCTAGTATTACCAGAAATAATTTGTGTCGCTCAGTGAAGCCAGCAAACTAGACAGGCTCAGCAGCGGCACGCATCTCCCACCATCACTAAACCGGCCATTTTGGAAAACGAGTGGCGCCACCTATAGTGAATTGGAGTCGCGAATAGCGAACTCCGTGGCCGTCCTTCCGTCCAGCTTCAATTAGAGGAGACTGAAATGGAACCTCCAGCATCGACGGCTTTGCTCCCTTCCACAACGAGGGTGGGAGGCAACGCTAACATTTTGTTACTCTAGCACATTATTTTTCAACGAGGTTACGAACACCATGTCGTCTAGAGAAGGAAACTTTATGGCATCCCTGTGTCACTAATAAAAAAAAAAATTAAAAAAAATAGGTGGTGGGGTGGGGCGGGAGACGGCGACATAGGGCCCAGAGGCTCCTGTGTTTTAACTGAAACCGACTAGCCTGCTTGTTTTTTCTTCAAATTTCCAGGGGCCAGCACGTGGTCCCTGGCAGCATGAGGCCCTGGGCTGCAGCCGCTTAGCCCATACCTTAATCCGACCCTGAGTGTGACCCCGGATTTAGGAGTGCCCGCGAACACTGTATGTCGATTGTCCTTTCCATTATGGCCCCGGAGGTCTTGGAAGAGAAGTTTGAACAAGGATGTACGACTGTTGACCTTTGGTCCTTAACGTAAATCACGCGGCAGACACGGCAGCAATGGTGAGTTTTAGTTTTGCGTATACGAGCAAACGCAAGCACTGTGCGTTTACGTTAGCGTTGCGTGTCTGCGGTCTTGAATTGGCGCATGACGATGTAACGTGAGCGCAGCGTGGAGCACGCAACATTAACGCAAACGCACAGCCTTTGCCCCTATACGCAATACTAAACCTCCCTAATTCCCCCAGGTACTGGTCAATAACGGCGGGAGTGAAAATTCAACGTCCCGACAAAATGCACAAAAAATGGTTCTCGAAAAGCAGCCTCGGTATTTCTTCAATGTTTGCTCTCACGGATACAGGAATATTACGATGAGCTCTTTTTGCCTACGAACTCGGCACACGAACGTTGATCTACCTTTAATTCAATATGCGTTTTCTCCTTTAGATCTTGCTTTCTAATGCAAATAAACAATCAGGTTTTCCAACCAGGCTATTGGAGAGACAGTTTTAGCTTTTCATATCAGTTATACTTTGCCTCATCCTACGATGGACCAAAGGCCAAGGCCGCGGGCCGCCAGGTCCAAT